TGGCCTATGGAGAGCAATTCGCTTTCTATGGGACAAGAACGGGTGGGATGGAGACGCGATGGCAACATGGCACATCCGAGAGATTGTGCAAGGGATTTATTGTAATATTTAAATATTCAACGTATTTCCGATAAAATGGCCAGCAAGCATTTCCATGACCTCTGTTTCTCCTTGTGTCTTCTTTGCGTGAAGGCCTTGGCAAATTTGAACACCAGCCCATGACAACCAGAGTCTTGGTATGTCGAATGTTGGGGACTCACAAATTGAGATACCGAAGACCGTCACGAAAGCAACGAGAAAAAACCATCGTATGAGGTTCTTTAACTCACCTCTGAATCTCAAGGAAAATATATGCAAAAGTTCGATCACGCTGCTTGAAAGAGTTGCATGCATACACCTTCATGGCTCAGCATTTCTCAGAGTTTATCCAGTGCAGAATCATATAATCACGCCCATCGTCATTTCTAGCAAGGTTGATACCCCTGTGGGGCATCCAGACCTTCTCAGCGGCGTGTTTTAAGTTGGTATTTCCCAGTCCAAGGGAACATTTGCACAGAACATTCCACTATTGCAATTCTGACGGGCAATCATAATCCCTTCGAATCGTAATATCAAGGTGTTCCCAATTTCAAGACGGCACGAGCACATGATAATATCAACGGACGCGAACAATTGCTATTTGGAAGAAGAAAGCGTATTCAACAGGTAATGTAGGTGAATTACAACAAAGGGGGAGTGAGTTGACACTATGCCGTAGCTTCAACTGCCTTGACCCCGCCACTCTCAATCGGAGTCTCTTTCTGAACTACCTTCTTCTGAATTGGCACACTCTTCTTAAGCTTCGCTTCCTCAGCCAAGTCGTCTGTGCGAGACTTGCTGTTGACATCAAGATATGCTTTGAATTAATTAGTCACAATCTCCTCGATAAAGCTGCAGCGACTTACGCCTCTCACCGATGCCAACGGCCCTGTTCCCGAATCGCTCTCCAATGTTGTCATAGTCGAAGGTGGCACTGTGGAAGGCACTACGGTTGTCCCAAATAGCAAGATCGCTATTCCTCGGATTAGCACAATCCATAGATTCGACATGGAAACTCCACATACTTCTCATTTCTCCACTTGAACCTAACCTGCAGATCATGATTCGTGGTAATGATATTGAAGAACTTCTTCAACAGCTCCTCGCTTTCATCTGTGTGCAACTCATTGATACGTTTGGGGAAAGGCCCCACAGAGAATATGCTCTTCCATCCGGTGACAGGGTTTGTTCTAACAACCGGGTGCACAGCGGCCAAGTCCCTTCCCACGTTCTCGGGTGAGCCACGAGGTTTCTCGTAGATGCTCACTTTCTCTGGGTTTGCTTCAGCAGCTTTAAGAAAGCCGTCTCCACTGAAGATCGCTGTAAGCGACTCGAGGAATTTGCGGTACGCAGGGCTAAAGCGATCGTAGATTTCGTATCCGCTCGCCCAGAGTGTGTCGCCGCCAGTAGGAACGCCGTTCTCGTCACGCGGAAGCTGGGTCAGGCGAAGTGAAGTGTAATCCGCAGGAGCAGGCTCAAACTGGATATCGGAATGCCACTGTGCTGCATCGTACTTTCGCTTGTCTGACTGTAGAGCGTGGGCGAAAATCTGCTTTCGCGCGAGGGACGAGATGCTGCTGATTTCCGCATCTTTGACACCAAATTCGGAGCTATCATTATAGACGGGGTGGATGTGAAGAGTCGAAGTTGAAGGCTTCCCGGTCAGTTCGCCAAGACGATGCACAAGCTTTTTTTGGAGATCGTCGGTGAGGTTGTTCTGGGCGCGAAAGAAGACGACACCTCGGCGAGAGACTACGACGATTTATTCAGGCACTTCATTCATAGATCTAGGTGGGTCTTACTTGTAATGGCCAATTCGCGGAGAAGTTCATCGGCATTCTCGGCATTGAGAAGGTCGTCAACGATGTTCAATGTGGAGAATTCCCGTCCGATGACAGGTGTGACATCTTCGTATCCAAACGTATTAAGCACGCCAGTTGGTTTCAGCGGTTCTCTGTGCTGAGGGGACTCTTTTGATTGCTCATTGTTAGCGTGCCCATCGGATAGAATGCCAGGGGCCATATTGAGAAGTGATAATGAATTGTTGAATGGACACAGAAGGCAGACTCTCTTTTGGAATATGGATGAATAGATAAGGCTCGTGTAGTCCCAAGGTCCTGGGCCCGTCATTCTTATACACTCATGGCGATCACGAACTTGTGTAAGCTTTCGGAGGGCAAGCTCTAACGCAATCTTGGGCTCTAGCACGTAATCCAGTATGCCCCTCACACGTTTCCCCACGTTTTGTGAAACCAGCGTATCATACTGCATATCAGGTGTTCGAGGTAGAACACATACGGCAAGTTTATTCCGTGCGAAGTCGGGATCAAAGACACAACCAGGAGCGATGCACGGAGATAGCATGATTATGGGCTATGATGACGGAAGTTGATGCGGGACGGATTATACGCCAGATCGTGCTGATAGTTACGCGTAATCGAGGACAGAGTTGCACGGGCACGCGGTTGAACATCGCTGCGACTTCCCCAAATGGTAGCAGTTCGGATCCTGTCAAAAACGTTCCTCCATGAGATATGGTGAGAGGTTGGAATCGGAGCCGACTAAGATCCGCTCACGTGATTTAGGGTCAGTCTCTGATCACTCCAGAGTTTGAAGGGTCCTGATGATCAACTACGGGTGCCTACCCTGGTCTGCAATGGCTATCATTTGCGGTCTATAATCTCTTACAGCCTTTCTCGCTTGTTCGCAGATCATTTGGTAACTGCACTGAAGCCCATAAGATGTGTAGGCCATGATTGGAGAAACAGTAATTAGCGCATCCGAGTTTCTACAAGGAGAGCCATTTTATACCTTGCTGTAATATAGATGTCTCCAAACCTCTCTATTGTTCTGAGAGGTCTCGAGACTAATTGACCTCAGGCTATGGATCCAACTTCGTTTCGCTGCAGCGTTAGGAAAAGGATCAGCATATAACGTCCGCTTTAGCTGGGGCTGATCCGTGGCGCATTATGTGATAACTCAATAGCCCTATGCTGATTAGGACGCTCACTTCATGCTCGTATTGAACAAGTCTTTTTGCGAACGAAGATTTCGAGCGGTGCACATGAAATCGATTCCAAAAAGACTTCGAGAAAGGCCTCTAAACAGTGTCCCCATGGTGGGTCTTTTACTTCGAGGTGGCGTTACTGGAACTACATGGTCGCGAATGCAGTAACATAACTTCTCTTCAGACGAGAAGGCACTGTTGATAGGAATTTCATGCACCCTGGTCCTTGTTCAAGAAACTATCAGCAGCCTTGAAAGCGTGTTCACCGCATGCCATTTTAAGCAGCATAGTCTCTGAAGCTGTGATTCATTCTATCGATGTAGGAGATGGCGGTATCGTACTTTTCTAAGACAGCATGCGAAGTGGGGGAAGATACTGTTCTGGCGGATTTTGAAGACGGATGACTTGCATCACATCATGTACGTCCTACATTAAATCTTCCAATGCAAAGCACGTCTTCTATATATTGTGTTGATTCCAAGAGCGCTTCTACTCGACGAAGATGTCCCAGCCTAAGTCGCCTCTGCGCTTAATTGCTCGCCTGCAGGCTTCTATTGTACCGTCAACACGACACTCTCAAAAGGTTGAACTGGTGAGATGACACATTTTAGCGCGGTCATTGTAGAATTCATAGTTGGAAATGTTATCATGAAAGCAAAGCCAAGCCAACATTCGTGCAGAAGGTCACGTGACCGCCGTGATTCGCGCATTCACCGTCCCAACTCGTGAATTCGCCAAACCGCGAATCACCTGCCACCGGGAGGAAGCTCCGATGAAGCTCCGCGACTAGCGCCTTTTTTCTCTTGCTTAGTAAAGCCTTGCAATCTCAGGGCTCCAGGGTATATAACGCCGCCCTCTCCCCCTCCACCTCCTCTTCTTCTTCTCCACCTTCCTACCTAGGTACCTCCGTCGCATGAGTGTTCGCGGCTGGCCACCGATGCATGAAAGCGGCAGGACATTAGAGTCCCTGATGGTGAACATGACTGAGCAGCTGCGAGTGTGGGGCAGTGCTTGGGGGTATCAGAGCCTTTTGGTTCATTCTTTGGCCTTGCCTCCTTCCTTCCTTCCTTCTCCTTCCCTTCCTCTCTCCCTTCTTCCTCCCTCCCTTCTTCCTCCCTTTCTTCTTCCTTCCCGTCTTCCTTTTTCCTGTCTTCCTTCATCCTGTTTTCTTTCTCTCCTGTACATAGATGTCTCTAGTTTTGCTAGTTTCGCTTTCTCGACCACTTTGTGGTCCCCTTAGACAGCCTTTTCTTTTTCATTGAGTTGCTTGACTTTGATTGAGCACTTGAAGAAGAAGATCCTGGCGATACTTCCATGGTGTTTAGGTTTTGGTGCTGCAGTTCTAGTTGCGACGCGTCAGTGTTGTGGGATTTGTTGACTATGGGCCACACAACATGTCGGCAAAGTGAAGGCAGCCAACTTTATGGCTCTTCTGAATTCTCCCTGAACCGTGGGCGCGTTTATAATTTGCTACGTCTGCACACAACCACGTATCAGTCTAGTGGGAACAGTAGGACACGTGAACAGTGTTGCAGTCCCACTTTCATCTACGTACGCCTATGATCAAGCCCAGACAAGAAAAGACGCCGCAAGCAAGCGCCATATAGGGATAGATATACTCCGAACATCTAATCGCGAGTACCGCTCCCAGCGTAAGAGAGCAGCAGCCACGGTAGGCATAGGGATACCGACGGAAATCGACGGACACTCAAGCTCGTGGGTGGAGCCTCCATTGTTTGAACTTTTCAAGGATTCTTTTTAATGAGGTCTGCAAGGAGATGTGTAAGGAGGAGGGTTGTGAGGGGCAGGTTTGTGAGGGGCAGGTTTGTGAGGGGCTTTTTGAGATAAGCTTGCAATGATTGAACTGTTCAAATAATCCGTGATGAGATTTGTGTACTAGAGAACCAAAACAGGATGCCCACTCCGAGGTTCAACCTCAGGACAGCCGGCGTGTGAAGGCCGGAGTCATAACCACTGGACCAAGCAGGCGATTTTGCTAATCGGGCAATGAACCTTGGATACCTGTTTAGCCCTACCAGCCTGTAGATATAGTTGTGTCTGGTCGGTGTCTGATCGGTCTGTAGGTCGTCATCCGGGATTGTTTGCTACAGTCACCGTGTGGAGTGGGGCTGGCCCGGATTGGTGTTCCAAAGGAAGGTGCAACCATCGCGCAATACACAAGGGGTCCGTCGATGTTCTCCTCGCCGGCCTGCTGTCGCGCACAACCGCGGCCCTGAAGCTTGTCCTCTTGCACGCCTTCGGCGGTGGGAGTAGCATCGATGTTCGCGACGACTCCTTTGCGAGGGCTTCTCCGTATCAATGTTCCAACTCGGCGCGTCTACTTCACACCCAGCTCTTCATTGTTCTATGCTCCCCGCGTCGCTGATGTGTCGCTGACGTAACACATGTCCTCAATACGCTCGCTCTCCCTGCGTTGCTAATGTCTGAAGATTTCGGACAAAGGCCAAGGGGATAGATTGTTGTCATCAATTGACTTTCTTCCTTCTTTCTTGATGGCTTCCTTGGGATCTTTTGCAGGGCGATCACCGCGCGCTCTGCCGTCTTCGCTGAAGACGACAGGAGCAACAGTACCAGCTCGAGCGGCAGCAATATCCAGCGCCATCAGCGAGAAGAGCTACATCCTAGCAGAGGGCATCATCCCGACCCTTGAGCCCGATGTCACACACAACCGCAGCCCCGACGCTTGCATTGCTTTTCGCGACGGCTCCTCAGTTGACATCGATACCCGCGACGGTTCCTCTGTATCAACTTGGCACGTCCATCTCACATACCCCTAGTGGAGCGAAGGCTTCTCAGTATCAATGTTCCAACTCGGCAGCCTCTTTACATCCATCTGCTCTTCAATGTTCTGTGCTCCCCGCGTCGCTGACGTAATGCACTCTGGCAGGGAGAGCGAGCGCATTGGGGACGTGTGTTACGTCAGCGACACATCAGCGACGCGTTGCTAATGTCTGAACATTTCAGACAAAGGCCGAGGCGATAGATTGTCGTCACCAACCTCCTTCTCCAGACGCCCGCTCTTTCCCTCGTCTTGAAGTTGGGCCCGAAGCGCAGTCGCCATGGGCCCCAAGCATGACACGGTTTGTAGTAGATGGCAGCCGTGGTACAGATAACCACAGCTCTCCTGCGGTCATGCTTGGGGATAGTAGTTGGGCGATTTCCTGGTAGAGATTATTGATGTTGTCGTGAGAATAGGCACGCAGTTGACCCTTCAACAGCAGGCGTGTACGAGCTAGCTTCGCAGATTGCAGACCTCTTTTGGGCCAGAGACAGCCGAGGCCACCCAGCCGCCCGTCTGTAACATTGGAACCTACTTGCACTATAGCCAGCTCAAGGTTTGTTGTAGACGTCATGTAAACGTGTGTTAGTGACTGAAGTATAACGTATAACGGTGTGGCAGTTGTAAAGGTAGGCTCTGGCTGTTGGATCTATACTAGAAGCAGAAAATTGGAGTGGAGGGCGAGAGCGGGTGAAGGAGGCCACTTGACAACGGATATCGAGCGCGGTGTGGCTGCGCTAGGAATCTCTGACGATCTTCGTCTCTCCAGATGAAGCGCGTGTAAAAGAGCGTGGGGATTGAAGTACCAGAGCTGTAGTCAGCAAAATAGTGACATACGCAGATAGCGCAGTACTCATACTCAGGTTTTACAGATTCGTGCCGCCAGCTGTCTCGGTTGGGCATATGGTAGAGGAATTCGATGCCGTGCGCGGCGGCCACTTCGTTGAGCGCCATGACTGCTAGTTCGTTGGGAGGCAGCGGGCGCTTTTCAGAGCCATCGAGGACAATCTGGCTCATCTACTCCTTAATTGAGTCCCTGCTGAAGCAATAGCTAAGGGTGAGATTGCGTAAGAGCGGTTTGAGTTCACTATCTGATAGGCATGCACTTTTTCGCTTTACCCCACCCGTAGGCTTTCTGGGTGTTGTAGGCTGGACTTGCTGGACTGGACTGGCATGTTGTAGAGATTGTAGAAGCGTTTATTGGTGAATCCAAGTGTGACATGAAGCTGGGTTGGCTTGTAGGGGTAGCGGTGGTGTGTGGTCGCGACTCCAAGTGCAACACGAGATCTTGTGAGGTTGAGGATGTCGCGATTCTTCCCTAAATCACGAGCCTTCCCACCATACTATATTTGGCATGGCATAGGACATAGACCCCATTTGTCAGCGCAGGCCACCTCAACCTCAGAGCTCCATTTGGCGGAACAACATTGTCAACTCAAACTGTATTATGGAAGCTTTAGAGACTGCAGAAGAGCAAATTCAAAATCTCTGTAGGATGGCACCCACTATGGTACAAGCATGTCTACTAAAAAGGAGGACTTTGTCACCCTTATTTGGTCTACTATATTGTAGCGTAAGTAATAATGACTATTTTTATATCCACCTTTTTTATGTTAACCTTTTTTTATATCTACTATTCTCTTGTTCATATGTAAGTACTTATTCCTATAGTTAGGAGGTGGGCCTGTGGGGCAACCACATGCAATTTATACATGCAATTTATACTATGGTACACTATCTAATATACATCTCAATACCCAAGAACTGACTGAGACTGCACAAGATAGACGATAAGATAAGATAGATGATGTGATATGATGAGATATACGATGAGATGGGCGATGAGATGGGCGATGGGAGATCAGAGGTCGGAGATCAGAGGTCGGAGGTGAGATGGCCCCTGCTGCGCCCTGAAGTTGATCTATCTCATCACCCATCTTATCACCTATCTTGATTAGTCCTTAATCAGTTTCTATCTTATTATCTATCTCATCCGCTATCTCATCATCCATCTTACTATCCATCTTATTATCTATCTTATTATCTATCTTATTATCTATCTTAATTAGTCTCTAGAGTAGATTTCATCCTTATTGTCAACTAAAATAGGTGTCTGTTTCAGCTGATCTGATCCCAGTCTACTAAAAATATTGACCTTGTCCAGGATTCTGTCTCCTGTCAACTGTAAGCCCCCGATTTTAGTGGACCCCTGTACCACAGTGACCTTCCGCTTCTCGCAGAGTAAAGCTACAATGCATATGCACCCAACTATGGACACTGCTCTCCGACGGCGCGCCCGCCTGTGACCCAGAAAGAGTTGGCAACATCGTTGATGCCTTTACTGCCTTGCTTGAGAACTTTGATGACTTCTCTCTCACCCAGCACGTTATTCCTGAGCTGAGGGCATCCTCTAAGCCAACACTAAGCGTGTACCATGGCAAAATCTATTACAGCACAGCCAACATACGCGACACCTTGCAGGCGACAGTCGGTCAAACACAGACATCGTTTGACAGCCCCCTCTACTGTGCTGAGAAGCACATTCTCCAGGAGGTCGACATGTATCGTGCGAGCTTGTTACTATTCAATGGGAGGACTCTTGGTGCAGATGAAACAGAGCAGGTGAGGAGGTGGATTGACAGCTATCCCATACGTTAGCCGATGATGTAAGTACTACTACGCTTGCGATGACAGCCGATCTTACCTCTTCCTTCAGAGGCTTCCTGGACAGACATTGGACGCTGTCTAGCCAACACTGAATGCGTATTGGCGAAGCCATTATGTAAACCTTGTGGTGAAGATTTGCTAGGAAATGGCGGAGTGGAAGGGAGATAATTTTGGTGGTGTTGACGGTGGGAATATACCAGAGCGTCACCTTATCAAGAGTGGAGCACACAAAGATTTCAGCTATAAGAATCTCCTAGCAGGGTGCTCAGCGCTAGGGATGGATTGTTCAGCGTTCGTCTTTGCTCATCTTGAGCTTGGACCGGCAAATCTCATTGTCGAGAAGAAAGCAAGATTGGGGACTATTGGAGTTATTGATTTTGAGGTTGCTGGTTACGTCCCTCGGGAATGGATTAGGACTAAGTTCCGAATCTCTAGCGTATTGAACCTGTCATCTTCAAGTACGACTGATCCCTATTTGTGGAGGAAGCAGGTCCAAGAGTGTCTTGGAAAGGTCGGGTTTCCTGATGTCACTATAAGTTGGTGCTCGTGGTGGGAATATGTATCACCTTGAGTATTGTGTGCTAGCATATAAAACCAACCAGAACGAATGATCGCCGCCTGCCTGGGCACTAATTCAAAATCCGCCACATTGTGAATACATGCACCTCTTCTCAGTCTCATACCATGGACTGCTCTACACGACAACAGGGAGAGATGTGCCACACAGCGATCCGTCGCTCTTCTTTCCCTCGTAGTGTGTCTTTCCAGAGATGTTATTATATCCACATGTCGGGCAGTTTACTGGGTTAACAAGTTAGATACTGCTGAGAACTGCCATTGCGACGCTTGCGCTGTTGACGAGGACAGAACAGGTTGATGTAGACAAGCAGAATGAGGTCGGCGGGCGGCTCGAGAAGGGTGCAGCCAGAGGTACGGATAGCGACAAGATTATTGATGGCGTGCTGCAGGCAGCTCGATGTGCGTGGGGAAAGGATTCCAAGCTGAAGCTCGATGGATTTTGAGATGCTTTCCGATGCTTTCTGATGTGGGGACGGTGGTGTGTAGCAGCCGCGACTGCACGGCCACAACCCCAGCAGCCACGGCCTCAAGAGTCAAGACCAACAGAGAATAAATTGCATTAGTGCTGCTTAGCACGTTTCTACGCTAACCATCATCCCTACAATTAGCAGGTACTAATTAGTATAGTAGCTGCAATCCTAAGGATAGCTTATAAATATAATAGGAAGGATTTATACATCGGATTCTACTATATTTTAGCTATTAATAGTTAGAAGAGTATAATAATTCTAGATAGGCCTTTACTATAAACTAACAATAATATAGTAATACCTACGTAATTTTATAGTGCAAGACTTCCTAGTAGTACTTAAGAGGCTAAACTATAGCACTTATCTGGAATTAAGTAAGTATAGATATATATACCAAGTTGAGATTGCTGTGAAACTCAAGTACCTATAATTTGGCTTGCGTCACAGGGACGGACGTTGCTTCATCTGGCGCT